ATCATCAAGTATTCATATTGCATCCTTAATTTCCATGCAATTATGTACCGAAATCTAACATTCTTGGAGTCATTCAAGAAAAACCAAAGCAATTGAAACATTTTATTGCTGATAAATTTTGTCAAGGTGAAAACAAACCTTTGTTTTTGTTTCGCAGCGAACGTCTAATTGCTGCAGGCGAAGGGAGAGATGGCCTGCCAGCTGGCTCCCGAGGCACCACGGCAAACAGTGGCATCCTGGCTCGAGGACATCATCAAACTTACCAAACCTCTCTGCAATTGCAACAGTTGATTGGTCAACTTGAATGCAGCCGAATGCGTTTCCCATATCCTAACATAAAAAGTTTCAGGACATTTAAAGGTAAGAGCAAAATCCCAGGAATAAGGAAAATATAAGCCCAAATTTAAAGAGTGAAAAAATACTCAGCTTTTACCAGAGATGCTCCATTAAAGACAATATTATGAACACGATAAGCAAAGAAGAGTTCTTGGCTATTACAAACCAACACATCCTCGCTCAAATTTCTCAAAATTAAGTCATCAAACACAAAAGACACAACCGAAAGACGATTTAATAACAATTTCCGTAAGCTGATAAAAACAGAACTTCGTCGTGCACAGAATCATACAACAACAACAACAACAACAACAATTAAATCAAGAGCAATAACTATAACTATTCAAGAAAAAGGAAAACTGGGTTCTGTTTCGATATATGGTCTTCGTTCTAAAAAAATTCAATCTTGACGTGGATTTTCAGAATCTAGGGCCAACCCAAGAAAATTTATGCAACAACTCAAGATTCAAGAACCAAAGTTCAGAGAGAATTAACAGAGAGGAGACATTAAAGTTGGTTGAGAGAGGGAGAAGACTTACACTTGGTCAGGGAATGCAATAATTGATTCCGGGTGTTATTGCTAATGTGTGCGAGTTGGATTAGAGACCTGATCCAGTGTATCTAATTTATAGGGGCACAAACACAACTTGCTGCTGAAGAAAACTTTCCCGTAAAATTCAATAAATTGTTTTTATTATTTTATTTTTTGGTCTTACTAGATTTTATTATTATTTGTTTTGATTTGAATTTTCAGGAAATTCATCTGAAATTGTTTTATTTATTTTTCTAAACACTTATAATATATGGTTATTAATGTTATGATTTTGAATTGACATAATTCGCATAATTTCATTTAATTTAATTATATTTCTTGTAGGAAGAAAGTAAGATAAAATAAAAGGAAAATTATTGTATTTATTAAGTTCTCTTGTTGGTATAGCAAAGACTTATGACCAGATAGGAAAGGTTAGACACGTATGGATCTCGAGTTGACCGGCAGTTGAACATCTTTGAACTTGCAGAACTCTCACACCGGAGGGGTGTTGATAACTGACCTGATTTTGACAAGATTAAAGAGAAGATTTACAAGTATTAATCACGGTTTATTGCTCAAGTCCCTTTACACACCCAACTTAGCTCAATTCGATACAGACAGAGTAACAAACCGACTTCATACATAAGTATGAACCGACTTCACTTATGACGGTGAACCGACTTCCCGCTAAAAGACAAACAACCAACTTCTCGAAAATTTATTCCTGAAGATTATCTACATAAATTGAGGTCCGAGGTAACTGAAATCCAAAGCAGTTGACAAAGCATGTATACGATTGGACCACATATTACATCCGCAATCATTGTTGTTCCCTCATTGACCTACAGACCGCTTCAATGAAGCTGCTCAACATTAAATGCGATTCTATCTACCTCGTACAAAAAGTCAAACACATAGTACTATAAATAACAGAATTTATTATTGTGCCGGGATCTTTTTATGCATATTGTACTCGCATATGCAAACACAACTCGGTTTTATATAATACCGACTTCTTGTAATCAGCACAAACACATAAATAATACAAAATTTACATCTTTTTTGCTTTAATTACACCTTGCTATCATTTAAATTTCGTTGTTAAATTTCATACAACAAAAGGGTATTTCCGGTGAAGAGTCTCCGATGCCTAAGTTAGCACTTGTTGAAGAAGATAAGTGTTGTATGAAAATGTATAATAGAGAATGTAATGTAATTCAAGGCATACATCATTCCCTTATATAGGGAGATGATACCTTGGTACTCAAGTCGGGCGCGTGAGTTGTCCTGACTGCAGGCCCGTAAGCTTTCTCAGCTGCCCGAGTTGCCCTAACCGTGCGCATGTTCCTAATTACTTCAAAGTGAAGTGTTGTTAATGTCGAGCTTCGTTGTTACCTCCATCTGGTTGATCCTTCGACCAAATACTTTCTCAGGTCGAAATTCTACTAGGCCCTTCCAAGGACCCCTCTTCGACCTACAAATATCCCCCACATTATCGATGTCATCTTCGTCCTGACAGCTAGTCTGGTTCGGCTCAGTTGTCTCTTTGGTTTAGTCGGTCTGGTACGATTATCCCATGTGTTGTTGAATATTGAGTTAGATATATTTTTGATTTGTTTCCTTATTTAATGGAATGTTTAGATTTGTTTCATTATTTAGTAGAATGCAGGGAAAGTAAGATTAGAAGGAATTTCTAGTCTCGTAAATCTGCATTATGCTGCGTGCGCGTAACTATTTTTTAGTGAAAGAGTTATGAAGGAAGCGAGAGTCTTCCTAAAAACAATTTTATTTAAATCGCTTTCACATTTTATTTTGTGTTGCTACATAAAGTTTCACTTGTGCACTCCGTACACTACCATTAATTAGTTTATGAATTTCGTAAATCATCACAATTTTTTTGTACTAGAGTGTCTAATAGTAAAATACTTATTTTTGCTACGATTAAATATCATATTATATTTACATTATCTATTGTACATAAACACCAAACAGAAATGCATACTTTTGCCGTGAAGTATCATATTATTAATTACCTAACTTTTTACAGTATGATATTTTAATTTAAAAATATTTTATTGATAAAGTGTAACAAAATAACCTTAACTATCTAACACCATTCTTTCTAATAGATCGTTTTTTTTTTTCTTTGGAAAAAAATAGCCTACTCTACTTAAATTCACCCACAAAGTTGGGATATTTTCATTTGTTACGTTTGAGCACACATGGTAATGTTTTCGATTGTGCTTTATAAAATTACAATTACAATATATATTTATTTTGAAATAGAAATAAAAAAATAAAAAAGTTATTTTTCATAATAAAGAGTGCATCGATTTGGGCATTGGCAGAGTAGAAAATATCTCATCTTCCCATGTCAACTTTAGACAAAGTCAATTAGCAAAAGAAATAAGGGTAAGGTCCACAATCTTATCCTATTGAATAGTGCCGGGCCAATATGGGGGTGTAAAAGACCAAACTTGCAAGGCAACTGCGATAAATTCTCCAAGTTGATATATTTAAAGAAAAAATAAAAGGATATGTGAGAATTTGCTATCAATATTTAAGGATTTGCCTGGTTATTTGTGGGATTTCGTGGTCTAATGTTACTAAAGATTGTGACATTTTAGAATTTATATTAGGATGGAGACCATAATGTTAGAGTAAATAATCATCTTCACCGCGCTATGAAGATTATCTAAGTTTTTCATATAGTAAAAAACTATACGAAATAAATTATGCGATAAACTATGATTATATTTGGCAGATAAATAAGCTAGCTTAGAGCATCTCTAATGCTCAATGTTGTAGTACCAAATTACATTCTACATTAACACATTTATTAATATTACAACTTTTCATTCTCCAATGTACAATGTGATCACAAATATTGTGATGATGTGGACATAATTAATGTCTACAATGCAGAGAAGAATGTGGTTCATCCACATTCTCCTCCACACTCTAGTTAGTCAATGAAGAGAAGAGAGAGAATTACTATTACCATTTTTAAGCTATTTAATTATTTTATTAATTTTATTAATTCATATTAAAATTTTAAAATTTGGTAAGTAAATAATATTGTAATTTGACTACATTGTGCATTGAAGATGATTTTTTAATTTAATAGTTGTGAACTCAACATTTGTCCTACATGGTTCACAATCTACTTAATTTTTTGACATTTGTCAAAATTTATCCTACTACAATATTAGAGCATTAGAGATGCTCTTATAGCTTATTTGGTTAGCTTATAAGATTCATGTATTTTAAAATAAGTTTCGTTTGGCAGGACGAACTTATCTCATAAGCTTCTTTGGTTAACTTTCCAAATAAGCTCGTTGAAATTTTTATTTCACCTAACTTATCAGCTGATTTTGTCAAACACTTTTATCATATGAGCTAGTTTTTCGGCTATAAGGCTATGTTTGGTAAAACTAGCTGATAAGCTAGCTTATAGCTTATATGTAATTTTTGAACTTATAGCTTATAGGTTATAACTTATAGCTGAAAAGCTAGCTTATATGATAAAAGTGTTTGGTAAAATTAGCTGATAAGCTAGCTGAAATAAAAAATTTAACTAGCTTATTTGAAAAGCTACCTAAAGTAACTTATGAGATAAGCTCGAGTTTTTTAAAAAAGCTCGTCCTACCAAACAAGGCTCATTTGAATACAGAAAACTTATAAGCTAACCAAATAAGCTATAAGCTAGCTTATTTGGCGTACCAAACATAGGCTAAATCATAATATAAGCCATAAACTCGAAAAATTACAGATAAGCTATAAGCTAGCTTATCAACTAGTTTTACCAAACATAGTAACACTAGCTGATAAGATAGTTTATAGCTTATGGCTATGTTTGGTAAAACTAGCTGATAAGCTAGCTTATAGCTTATTTGTAATTTTTTAGCTTATAGCTTATGACTTATAGCTGATAAGCTAGCTGAAATAAAAAATTCAACTAGCTTATTTGAAAAGCTAACTAAAGTAGCTTATGAGATAAGCTCGAGCTTTTTAGAAAAGTTTGTCCTACCAAACGAGACTTATTTGAATGCAGGAAGCTTATAAGCTAACCAAATAAGTTATAAACACAGCCTATATGTAATTTTTGAGCTTATAGCTTATAACTTATAAATTATAGCTGAAAAATTAGCTTATATGATAAAAATGTTTGGTAAAATTAGCTTATAAGCTAGCTGAAATAAAAAAATTCAACTAGCTTATTTGAAAAGCTACCTAAAGTAACTTATGAGATAAGCTCGAGCTTTTTAAAAAAGCTCGTCATACCAAACGAGGCTTATTTGGATATAGGGAGCTTATAAGCTAACCAAATAAGCTATAAGCTAGTTTATTTAGCTTACCAAACATCTATCATTATATAAAAAGAATAATTTTTTTACAAATTTAGAAATATTTTCCCGCCAAAATCATTAAATATATCCTATATATAATAATTGTTGGACAAATCTGAATAGACAAATAAATTGGCTCATTAATTGTGTAAAGATTTGTTTCTCTTTTTCCTATTCTTTAGTTTATCAAAACCGTTGTTTGACAATAAATATTTGTGTTTCTTTTTTCTATTTTTAGTATAAATCTACACGAGCTTATCTCTTTTGTTGTTACAAAATCCCATTGCATCCGTCTCACGTGTTTAAAAAATCTCATCCCTTATCTATACAGATTTGAAAAAATAAAATAAAATAGAAACCAATTCATAATTACTATTAGAAATCCATTATCTTTAAAAAGAAAAAAATACAATAAAATAGAAACCAATTCATAATTACTACTAGAAATCCATTAACTACCTTAAGAAGCTAATTTTCATCGGTCTAATTACTAATATTTTTACAAATATTATAAGCTAATCATACAAAAAAGTATAATAATAATTTTGAAATGGTGTGTAATCAAATTTTTTTATATTCTCTTATATATAATAATTTTGTATTGTTTGACCCGGAATCTTTAATTTATAATTATTAAGTATTGTTTATCCTTCTCTTTAATTTATAATTATTATTTTTTCTTCCTCTTTTTAAATAGGATCAATAGTAGTTTCCACTTCTGCCATTGAGTGACTCAAACTCGAGATCTATTTATAATATTGTTAATTTAATATTGTTTCTGTGCATCGCACAGGGTACACACTAGTACTCTATTATTAAAATAAGAATGTGAGAATCAATCATAACTATTAAATAAAAAATAAGGTGTCTAGTTAAAATTTAATCATTTTATTATTTTAATTGGTTAAATATTGATTTGATCGTTGACATCCGACAGTAACCATTGACTCGTAGTTTGTGCTCTCGTTATCCTTAAGTCTGCATCCAATATTCAATTTGCAAGCTTTTTAAACTTCATACAGATTGGTACGAGACATTTCGAAAATAATTGTATCACTCAAAAAATAGGAAAAAGTTGTATTTAGAAAAAGCAGTAAAATACATTTTAAATTATGAATGAGTATTAAATAAAAATACAATAACTAAAACTAATTGTATGTAAAAATAATACAATATTCTTTTAGTAGTACCTAGTATTTAAAAGTATCCTAGTGAGTGAAAAATGTTGTCTGTCAGAAAGTATAGAAGAAATATATATTTAGTTGTAATTTTTTAATTTTGTTAGTAAAATATAGAAAACATAGACAAATAAAATTATTTAACTTTTTTTTTTCAATTCACATTTTAATAAAATAAATTGTAATTGACCAGAAAAAATTGAAGCATTCTCATATCCGCCTAAAAATAATAAATAACTATCCGCTAATCAGATAATATAGAAACTCTAATATATAGAATCTATAGACTATATAGCTCCCAAGAAGCAATCTGCAACTGCAAGCTTTTTAAACCATAATTATAATGTTACTTCAACAGATTCAAAAAAATAAAATGAAATAATATACATTCACTCTCTCGTGAACGCAAATTGATTCGGCCATACTCTATTTTACGCGATTACGGAGACACACTACATCGATGGTTACCTCTCAACACTTGTCCGAATGAGAGTCGTAAAATTCGCTTAGGTAAGGTGACATCACCTCCTGCTCGAGCATTTGCACGACCTGATGCATTGTGGGCCGCTCGTCTGGATTAGCATCCGTGCATCTCGCCGCAATTTCTACAAGTACCTCTACTGTGTCCACATCAGCATCCGAACATTTTTTGTCCACCACATTATCCACTCGATTTTCCCTCAAGAGCGTGTTCATCTAGAATATATATAATGACAATGACGTGAAAAAATTATTACGAAGCTCAAATATTTTTCAACGAATTTTTCGAGAGAAATTATGAATTTGTGTGTGTTTGAGGACATACCCAGCCAACGACATTTAGGCCTTTCTGAACGAAAGATGGGTCGGTGGGTCGTTTTCCGGTTATGAGCTCTAAGAGTAGTACTCCAAAACTGTAAACGTCCGATTTCTCGGTGGCTCTACCACTCTGTAAGTACTCTGCAGTCTCGATTATAGATCAGAGTTAGGCAGTGATCACAAGTAAATCTAAGGTGGTGATTATACTAAGAACATAACACGACTAATTTGATTATTGTAATTTGCAGAAATTACGTCGTAATATGAAATTGTTATATGTTATGTGAAGAGCATTTTTTAGGTTCAAATATCAGAATGATAAGAGTTAATTGGTTCAAAAAATCGTGTTGTCTCACCAGACAACTTTTATCGATGAAATATTGAACAAATTCCCATCAAACACAATTCACAAACAAAAATCAATCGTTTACTACATATTTTCTAACATAAAACACTATTCAATCACTCACAACTTACTCACAGATATATAAAACTACCAATCACTATTCTATTATGTTTATACAACATCACATTAATCATTATATTTTTCTCAAATATCACTGCAAAATCCCAAAAATGTTTCTTTAGTTCTTTCAACTTTATCAACTCTTTAGAGATATTAAGATTTTTTTTAGGTTTCTAGTTAATTATGATTCATTCTGTTTTTAGGTTTTCTTTTTATTTTTTTTCAATTTAGCTTTTCGACCTTTTTCAAGTGTTTTTCTAATTATTGCACTATTTTTTAAAATTAATTTTCATTCCAGAATTTAGTTGTCATATGATTGTCACATCCAACAATGTCTGTTGTTGTTTATTGTGATCAACATCAAAATATTGAACAAATTTGAAGGAGGTGTACTTCTCCATCTTCAAGACTTCAACAATATGTAATGGTCTAATGGCGTATTACGACAAAAGAAATGATAAAAATGGTGAATGAGAGCATACATAAAGGTTGATATAATTTATAAAGCTTACGTTCTTAACAACTTAGCAGAACCTCGAAAAGCAAAACAAACCTGGAGCAAGATAACCAAATGTCCCGGCAACCACAGTCGTGACATGTGTATCCTCGTCAACTAATAGTTTAGCAAGACCGAAATCCGAGACATGAGGCACGAGATTCTCATCAAGGAGTATATTGCTCGATTTTATATCCCGATGGACTATCTTTGGGGAACAATCATGGTGTAGATAAGCCAATCCTCGAGCCGAACCCACAGCTATTCTCACGCGTGCATTCCAGTTCAGCAAACGTTCTTCCGCTAAATTATCTGATAAAACGAACATATAAAAAAAGTCCAACTTTCAACCAAATGAATGTGGTTAATTTTACTTGCTGATGAAGCTACACTGAGTTGTATAAAAAATATTTAGTCGGGAGTTGAATTTTTACATGCATAGTTGCATACAAATCTGTCGTAAAGAATTCTAGACTTCATTTTTGGTTCAATGAAGAAAAATCTTAGTCAATCTTATAGCTTATTTAATTAGCTTATAAGCTTCTTGTATTCAAATAAGCTTGGTTTAGTCAAAATCTCATAAGCTTCCTTGGGTAGCCTTTCAATAAGGTTATTGAAATTTTTATTTCAGCTAGCTTATCAACTAATTTTATCAATGTTATCATTTAAACTAGTTTTTCAGCCATAAGTTATAAGCTATCAACTATAAACTCGAAATTCAATTAAAACCTATAAGCTAGCTTATCAGCTAGGTTTACCAGATTTACCAAATATAGCCTAAGAAGAAGAAGAAAAGCTTACCATGCAAAAAGTAATCCAAGCTGCCCATGGCTAAGTAATCGTATATAAGAAGCTTTGCGGTTGGAAGTCGGCAGTAACCTCTCAAGTTGACGAGATTAATATGTTTAATGCTACCCAAGATTTCGAGCTCCCGTTCAAACACTTGATCCGAACCATCCCTTGCTCGGTCGATTTTTTTAACGGCAAAAGTTCCACAGTCGTTCATAACCATTCTATACACGGTACCGAATCCTCCGGACCCAACAATGTCCTCTTCATCAAGAGACTCAATTTTTTCCACAAGCTCGCAAGATGGGTATGGAAGATCGCCGTGGAAAGTGATAAGCTTTGCTCCTGAGATGAAAGGTTGAAAACAAGAGATTAAATAAAGTTATATATAAAGTGGTGAAAAGTTAGCTTCCAAAATAGAAAAATGCACACTCAAGGGCTTTGCATTTTCATACAAAAAATATCCCACATTACTGATCGAGCAATTTGTACAACTTTTTGATTGCAAAATTTATCCTTTAAGTAGTGGAATTTTAATCATACACTTACCTAGTAAAGAATATTTTGTCATGTAAGTAGTGGAAATTTTGCTCACATCATTATCTAATGTAGAAAACCAATAAAATATTCAAAATTTTGCAGAAATGCAATTTTGGTTCTCGGAGTTGCATAATATGAACAACTTTATTGAAAGGGTTTCTTTCATTGTTTGATAATTTCCTAAATGCATTTTCATATTAATATATCCAAAAAAAAATGTTGAAAGGCCAAAATTACTATTTTCAGTATGAACAAATCTTCATGACTGAAATTTCCACATACAAAATTCCCCAGCGTCGGCCTAAACTTCCAACTTTGCCATACACGGGTATTTCTAATTTTCGTAGATAACTAAGATATTTAAATAAAAATAAATCAGCAAGTGTTTACTTGGTTCTTGATGAACTTGTTTTTTCACTTCTGTGTACTTCTTAGCAGCTCTTTCCTTCTTTGTGAACAACCAAATGAAGAGAAAACCGAGAAGCAAAATAATGGCAAAACCGAGCATGGACATGGCACCGATCACTAATCCTTTGATATAATGAGACGATTTCTTGTGCTCTGTTGAACCCAAATGCCATCCAAAAATGTCTTTAATTTCAATTGTTTTATTTTTCGAAAAATGGCATTAATTTTCAGTTCGTGCATGGAAAACAATACCCGTTTCCTCATCACTTGCAACATGAGGCAACACAGCAGGAAATCCAAGGGATGTTTGACAAGGCTTGTTCACTTGTAGGCCACATAGATCTGAATTGCCATTAAACCTAATGCAATAACGAATCGAACGAGTAAATCAAAAATGATGATGAATAGTGTAAAAACAAATGAAATTTATACTTCTTAAAGTTATATAACTTTGCTTTAATAACTTACGATGTGAACCCGAATCTGGCTAGTGCTCCAACATTTGGAATCTCGCCGGTCAAGAAGTTTGAAGACAGATTTCTGAAAAGAAATAAATAAATAAATAAATGCATAAAGAATCAATCTGAGAATGCTGCTAGATATATGCAGAAGCATGCAAATATCTGACTTATATTAAGCTTGACTTACAGATGAGTTAAATTCCTTAATCGAACTAAAGACGATGGTATAGCACCTTTCAGCAAATTGCTCGACAAATCCCTGGTCAACAATTATATACATCCATAAACTCAAACAATAAGATTCTCAAAACAAAAACAAACGAAAAAGACCTACAATATACGCAAATGAGAAAGGTTTCCCATAGTTGAAGGTATGCCACCTTCGAAATTGTTAGCTCGAAGATACCTACACACACAATTTACATAAATGAGACTTAAGTAAATACCAAAACACATGCTAAAAAAAAAAGATAATACAAGGCAACAAAAATTCCTCATTTCAACTCACAAGGCTCTTAGCTCAGAACATTGAGAAATTTCAGCGGGGATGATACCGTGAAGTTTATTCTGGTGAAGTCCCCTGATTACATTAACATAGTTAACTTAGTTAACAAAATCCATAAAGCATCAACCTTTATTTATAATTTTAAGACTAATACACAAACAAATAGACTTACAATCTTTGTAATTTATCGAGTTTAGAGATGGCGGGGGATATAATTCCTGCAAGCTGCATGTATGGCAAATTTCTACAAGCAAACAGGGCAAGACATATAAAAATCAACGTGGGCAAGCACAAACAAGAATTAACAATAGAATTAACTGAAAACAAAACCTTACAAATCTCACATACATAGATATTACTTTTTGTTCTTGCTGGCTGCAAGTTATACCAGTCCATTTACAAGGAAACTCATCAGATTCAGTCCAGTCACCAAGATAATTTTTACTGTCATTCAAACTGGCTTTCAGTTCCAACAGTGTAACACCTGAGCACACCAAATATAAATAAAATAAACAAATAAACCATGAAATTCCAAGTTCTAAAGTTACATTTGAGCTTAAAGACTAGACTTTGAGCCAAAAATAGTAATNAGCAATAGAGCATTTGCTGAAAAGGGTGGTCGCCAAAGCAGCTAAAAACACCAAAACTGAAACACTGATTTTCATTTTCTTGAATTCGATTTGGGGCTCTTTCACAAGACCTACTTGATTGGCTTTTTTGAATGAATATAGTAAAGAGTAAAGAGTTTAAAGGTGTTTGTATTGTGATGGAAAAACTAAACAAAGCTGAATCTTGGAAAAAATGGTGGGGTTCTTTGTGTGGGTATGCTATAATTGCAAATGTGCGTACTTCAAAATTGTAATAAGTCAAGAACCAATTACTCCCAAGCATTTTTTTTTTTTTTAGCTTATAATAATTTAAAAATTTACTCTACTACACCACGTTAATATAGATTAATTAAGCAGAACCGGAAGCGTGTAACTCGATTATTTTCGTGTAGAAAATGGTTATTTTCAATGTTCTTTTCTATATTTGTGCAGTTAGATTATTTTATTCCACAAGTTTAATTTTTCATTTTTTCATTTGGTACATTTTGCATGAACCAAACTAAAAAAATACATAGAAAATCCAAGAAAATCAATTTTAACCGTACTATTTGATATCAGTTCGTTGTTATTGTGTTGTGTTGTTTGGTTCGATTTGTAAATTTATTTTTCTTTATCATGGAACTATTCTCTCACATAAGTTTTTCTGTAGATAATTTTTTTTCCTACAAATTGAAACAAATGAAGAGGGTTTCACTTTAAAAATTGCATGGGCAAATGTGCCGTGAGGTGTAGCCGTTGGTCTCATAGCGATCAAAAAGTTGAGAGATAGATCAACAGCCGCATAGAAAGGCGCGTGGTTTTCTGTCAGCGCATCGTATGGCTCAGTATTGGCTAAGGTCCCATAAAAGACACGTGGCAACAAAATAATAGAGAGTAGCTAGTGATCGCTGACTAGCGTGTGAAGTTTAGATGGTTTGACAGAAAAGTCCAAAGTGTGCACTGCCCGAGTCTGAATTCTTGCAGAAGTTTTGAAAAATTAATTATTCAAAATGGCAAAATACTTCACGCGCGCAAAATAAAAGTTGCATGGGTGTTGGACCTAAAAGGCCAGTCCAGTGAGCCCATTCCTTAAATTTTGCAAAACTTTATGCAACATTGAGCCCAATTAGATTTAATTTCATTTCCCCAATTTAGTTAATGATGGATTTGGTGCAATTAGGTCAAATCTCAAGGATGTTTGTAGTTGGAGCTTAAATGAACCGATTGAGCTAAGTTTGAGCATTTTCTAGTTCATGTTTAATTATGTTCAAACATTGTTTTGGTTCGTTTATACATTATTCAAGCATAAAATTGTATCTGAACTTGTTCATGTAATGATTCGTCGAGTTCGACTTAGTTCGTGTTTGAGTATTTAGTAAACAAATTTATTAAAACTATTTGATTAACTTGAGATTAGTTCATTGAAATTATTCGAGGTAAAAAATAATTAAAAAAAACATACTTTAAATTTTTTTGTTAAAAATATTCTACATGGACTCTATCATTGGGCTAAACAACATTCTTTTTCAGCGTGTTCGGGGTGCAAACTAGGCCATCAAGTTAGGATCCCAAACATCCTGAAAATTTGTATTAGGTCGAGGGCTTATATTATTCAATCAATTCAAGTGAGGTTTACTAATTGTTGATATACGAATTTGTCCGACCCAAATCAAGCTCCCTAAGACGATTGTGACGCAAAAATCAGTTCAACACATGAGACATCCCCGGATTTCTAGATGTCCAGGAGTACTCTAGTCGAAAAGAAAGACGTCGACCTCGTTCTCAGCTACAAGCTACCAGTGTGGGTTTAGGCCCACATTGAAAAAAAATAATAATAATAAAAATAAAAATAAAAAATTCCATTGCCCTTAAGACTCAGGAAATAGCTTAATACATCACTACCTAAAAAATAATAAAAATTAAGAAACAATAACTTGCGAAGGAAAATAGAGAGATAAACGAAAATAAATTTTTGTTATTATTGATTTTAGTGAAGTGGATGTAACCCTTCTTCTTATTAGGTTTTAATAGAAAAACGTAAAAACTTATTTACATTTTTTAGCATTTTTGTAGTTAATTAATTAGTTTTAATTATCTAAAAGCTTAGTATCATACATTCTAATATGTGTGTGGTTAATAACTTAAATTGTAGGGCTTTTAAAAGTTGATATATTCAGATGCGGATCTAGGTCATAAAATCAGTGGGGACCTACTTGTTTCTAGAAAACATATACTACCTCCTATTTTTTTTTAAATGTCATTTTAAATTTATCAACCATTAACCAAATAAATAACGTTTTATTTTTTTATTATTACTCTCATTTAGCTAATAAATACACTACGTCTTTTTATATTCACTCTTCATCTTTTCTCAAAACATCCATCTCTATCTTCATTAATGAGGGTTATTATTGGCAAAAAAAAAAAAATTAATTACTGTGCAACTTCTCAAAACGATTATGAATCGGAGAGAGTATAATACATCATAACAAAGTATAAATGTAAAAATACACACTCATTGAAATTTTTATGAATTTTTATGAGTTTTTATAGTTTGGTATGACTCTACAATAAGGTCTTTACATTTTATTTCGACCTAACAATATTATAATTCACCTCGAGTATATTTAGACTAAAAGTAGCTGATTTTGAAATATTTTCACATACACTTTTCTGTCGAGACTATTTATAAAAATATTTCTTTATAATTTGATATAAAAAAAATAAATTATAATGTATAAAATATTTTATCTAATATATCAAACTTTTAAGAGCCCTCAAGTTATTAGTCGCACACAAATTTAAATATGTTAATAGTTATTTAAAAAACAACATTCAATTAGCCACAAGTTTAAATTTTTTATTTTTATATCAAATCTAATAAGAAAAAAAGGACTATATTTACTTTCAACAAAATCAACAAGAATAATGATTTCTTTTACCCATTATCTTTTTCTTTTGCCCATTATTAACCTTCTTTGAGTTTTCATTGTTCTTATTTTTATTTTATTAATGGATTATTAAACAATTTTTGAAGTAGATATATAAGATATATAAGGCCAACACTGGCCCTTATATGGCTACGCCCCTTGATATATTACATAAAGTATTTTATACTTTAATTACAATTTATGTTTTATATTAGATTATGGAGAAATATTTTTAAAAAATGTCTTGGTACCAAATTTGACTTCAATGCAAAGTGACTATGTCTCTACTTGAGTTTAAAATAAACTTAAGGCTAGACCGGGTCTCATTTTCTTCCTGCCACATAAGCAGGACCAAGTCTACTTAGCCTTGCACTGGAAGATATATTCTCTTAAACTATGTCTATTTCTTATGTGGCATGTATATTTTTTTGAATGGACCCATAGCATTACAGATGCTATTATAAAACAAACATCAAACAGTTAATATGGAAATCAATTCGTCTAGTTTATAAGTCTAGTAGGCTACTCCTCCTAAAACCAATTGGTTTTGGATGAAACCTCACTTGAGCTTCATTTGGGGTAATCCTCTTATTTCACTTGTGTGGGACCGCACTCGTTTTGTCCCCCGTTTAACATGGTATCAGAGCGGGCCTAATTTGGGACATGTGAAAAAAAAAAAAAAAATACCTGGCCTGGTTGGAGGTGTGGACTGATGAAGGATTCACAAGTGAGAGGCCGTGTTGGAATATCACTTGTGAGTTGTCTCACATTGATTTGATAGAATAAATGAGTTTAGTTTATAAGCCTAGTGGACTACTCCTCCCATCATCAATTGGTTTTAGGATAGAACCCCACTAAGAGCACCCACAATAAATATCCAATGCAAAAAAAAAGTATTAGGTCTAGAATACCTAACAACCAATAAAAATATAATAATAGTAAATGATTGCTATTGTAAGGTTCACACTTGGGTCCAAAATAGACCCAAGAGTGAACTTGGTCTCTTTTTTTATTGGCACATAAGCTAGACTAGGTCTACTTTTAAGTGCATTGTGAAACACTTTTTTATAGAATAGGTCTATTTCGTACATGGCATGTGATTTTTTTTAAAGAGACCCAAAGCAAGCATTGTGAGTGCTCTAAGGTCCATCTAAGCTTACCCTACTTTAGTGCGTTTCACGTCCGTGGGACCGTAACCATCAACCCTTGTTTCTTCAAATTTCTCTTTCAACAGTCGTGTTTATCACAAGAGTGTTTTACTGTGGGTCTGCTTATTCACACTTAACGTTTTTATTATAACGATTAAATTTTTTTTATTTAATAGCTATTAAATAGCACGCGTGATCATGAACATAGAAATGCAAATCTCTTCACGAATTTCTGGTAAAGACCAATTGCATTTTTCCAGTTTTTCTTTGTTCAAACACAATAATATGCAATAATATTTTTTGAAATCACACAACACATAATTGATTGCAATGATATTTAAAGTCAATCCCTCAAGAGGTAGTGTCATTCTTCTCTAGTTTCCTTGACTAAGAAAAAATGAACACTTTAGCTCCAAAAAAAATAGAGATAAATAGTATTTCTGTTAATATTATTTGGGTCTCTTAGATGGGTTACGGTCCAAATAGACCCAAAAATAGAGATAACTATTATTTGGGCCGTAACAGAAATAGACCCAAAAAATAGACCCAAATAATGTTGAGAAAATTACTTGCCCTACGGCCGACTTAAAGTTTATTGCCCCAAAGACGAGATCTTTTTTCTTATTCCAATTATCAGCTCTTGATTCTATATTTAAAACCTAATTAATTATCCATTTTTCATAAGACCAAGTTTATACAATCGCACATCAATTTCATCTTTTGTTAATTTTTCCTTCATCAACACCAACCTGCCTCAGCTCTCTCTCTCTCTCTGTCATCATTGCACCGTCGACAGTGCCAACACCCTAAGATCTGATGCGATGGAGGCGGCCAACGGTACTAAGTCCAGGATAGCATCTCCACCTTCGACGACGCCAGCGGAGGGTGTGCATCTCAGCGCCATCAAACCGCCACCAACGTCACCCTCGTTTCGAGATCCTCTCCCTCTTCGGCTCCCTTCTCCCACCGTCTGCACCGTCCGCCGCCTCGAGGCTCAGCATATAACTCGTCGGGGAGCAGGAACAACTAGTCGGAAAGGTGTGGTTTACTAAATTCTCTTAATCCAAAGTTGTGGTTTACTGGTCTAGGGTTTAACTAATTTTGATTTTCTTTTTTTTAATTATTTTTTGTTTTTGTTTTGGGGGTTTCATTGATTAATACGTGAATTGCATATATGTGAATTGTTGGATTTTGGATTGTTCTGTTTCTAATGTTGCTGAATTTCC